CTATTTATACAAATTTATGTTATATGTTTTTGGTTGTCATTAATGTCATGTAAATGTGTATTCTTTTATTTTCTACATATAAACACTTAGTACCTGATTTTTTTTAACGTTTCGTTCGTAATTATACAAATATTAAACTATTTATTTTACTTGCATGTACTTACCTTAAGATTTCCCATAGTGCAATATAAGATCTAGTCCATTTGACTGTCTAGGTACCTGAAAGTCAAAAAAATTACCACAAAGTAAAATCCTTAAATGAAAATGTATATCCCGACTTATCTGAGAATCCTCCAGTATTATACACTTTCGACAGAAAACCTTATCCGCAATATGAAGTACCTGAAAATATTTAAACAAAATGCATCATGAACTGAACCATAGAATGAACATATTCATATACTTACATAATTTTGCCCGGCTGTGAGACTCCAGGGCGTGGGAGTTCCCCACGTAGGCCATTAATTTCCACGCACACCGTTCTCCTCATGTTCCTCATCTCGAAACCCGGTGTTTTGTTGCGGTGGGACTCTGGGGGTGCCGACTGTAGGGTGTATGTCTAAAAAAAAAATTTTGCGTGGGGGGACCTTAGTGGGACGAGTTTCGAGCACTATCCGGCTTGGCCAGCGACATCGGCGCCTCACCACATGGCCGTGCTCTTAAAGATTTTTACATTATTATTTTTTTTTTGTCGGAATGGTCTACTTTTCTTATAGTAGTGGGGATTGCCAATCCGCAGTAGACCATTGGCAAACAGGGGGGGAAACCTTGCTCGTGCGACCGCCCGACATACGGATCGCAGTTAAGCCCCGCTGTTTTTACCTGAAAGAAAAGAAAATAATTAAAATTGGAAAAAAATAGTGTGGAACGATACTTACTATACCAATTTTTTTTGTTTTGTTGTAAAAAATGAAACATATGTTATCCAGTGTTGGTAAACGTTCGTATATGTTTTACTTGTTGCAGACTATTGTGAATGATTGCTACAGTAGGGTACGTAGTAGTAAAACGGATGAATGAATTTATGCGTCCTTTTTGTATTGAAATTTAGTTGTAATGGGGAATTCTAATGGAAATGAAATAGATATATTTAACTAAATAAAATTTTGTTAGAAAGGGATATATGTATCGTTGTTAAAAGGCAGATTTTAGAGGGAAAAAAAAATAAAGATGGCTTTATTGGAATAGCTAGTTAATATAGGTCAAGCGTAGCCATGTAAATTTTGTACTTGGTAAGATTACAAAGCTTCTGGACGTTGAGAAATAAAGACATAAAAAAGTGCGCGCAATAATAAGTGAAATCAAATCGCTAGTTTTTTATATAAAAAAAAAAATAAAAAAATATACACCATATACATTGGCAAATAAAAGTAAAGATTAAAAATAATACAAAAGGAAATTACATAATAAAGGTAAAGCAACAGTTTGTAAAAAAAAAAAAAAAAAATATATAGAAAAGAAAGTTGTGTGATTTTTCTTACAATATATGTTTTGTGTGTCTATAGCATATACCGGCGTATAGAGAGGCAGATAAAAAAATCACCACTACACTCACACTGTTGGCATTTTTTCAATGAAATTGCACTGAAAAAAATATTTGGTCATTTTTAATTTTGAAGATTAAATTGCATTACTGTAAAATGCTAATATTTATTAACAAAATGTAGTCAATGTACATAAGAATAATAATTTCATCAGATAGAAACAACATTTCAAATTAAAATATACAAAAAAGTATTAAATAAGAATGATCTTATTAACTTTCATTGTTATGCATTCTAGAAAATTATTTAGGGTGTATGTTGTTTTTGAAAATTATGCTCTTGTTTTTGCAAGTTGTTTTTGTTTTTTTAAGTTGTGTTTGCAATTTCTTTAACAAAGCGACATCACCCTGCTTTGTTGAATGCTGTCAAGCAACTAAATAAAATATTTGTATTTTTGATGCTCTTGTTTAGAAGTTCGTCTGCGATCGTGTTGTGTACATGTAATTTGCCGAAAATTTTCGTTGTCAGAACAATACTAGCGCCGACGTCTGGTCTATAGGGTAGCAAGAGTTTGAGAATTTCGAGTATTGGACAAGAAATAAAGTTAAAGGTTACTGCAACGACAAGGATAAGGAAATCTAGAAGTGTTCCTGCAAAATAGTATTATAAGCTTGGAGAACGTAAGTTTCATAGTGTATAGGTTATTTTATTAGCGTTACTGGTCAAATGTTTATAAATATTAATCTTTCGACCAAACAGCTTGAGACGGGTTTCTATCTGGAGCAGGACCAGAGTTAACTATTTTCGGAAACCTTACTCTTCCTGGGAAGAATCTCAAAAAGGGTTCTCCAAAAATTTAAATCCTCTCCTAAAACAACAGGTAACCATACTCAATTAAGAAAAATAATAGCCAGAAAGAAAAAGAGTACAATCCGTTCAATACTCGACGCTACGTATTCAATTGTGAAATTTCAATTATTGCACTTGATTTTTAGTATATTTAACTATAGAACAGAAGATATATATCAGAATTTAGGGTTAAGATTACTCCGTATCATTTATTAGTTTTAAGTTTAATTTATTTATAAGATATATTCATATGTGTTTGTGATTAGCGTGCCTCGCAAGAAGAAAAAAAATCGTCAGGTTGTAGGAATATCCATCCCCAAAACAAAACGAAGTATATATTCGAACTTTAGTTTTTTTTTTATTTAATTGTATTTTCCCTCCCGAAATAAAGAGCTCTTTAGAACAGGATCAGGAAGATTAGATATAGTGAACCATATCGATGGTCTGGCAATATTGTGCAAAAAAATAAATAAACGTTTTATTTTGGAAAAGGGTCTTTTCCTGTGGCATGTAGAAACGCCTGATATCATCTATTGTGAATATCGCTAAGAATTAGTGTAATAATACGTTATTTTGTTAGATTTGTGTATAAATATATGTAATTTTTCTTTATTGTTGAAGTTTAATTCTTTTATTCTATTATTATAAGCCCAATTTTTAAGGTAGATAAACATCTTAGGAAACCTATAATAGATAAAATAAATGAAATTATGTTCGTTAAATGATTTGAATTAAAAAAAAAAAAAAAAAAAGGTATGAAGGCTTAAGTTTATTTGTTTAAGGGGTAGGAAGAGAGAAGGTAAGTGGTGAACAGCGAGCGGTGTTAAGGGGTTGCTTTAGAGGATGAGAGGAGATAGTAACCATGGTTGGGATGGGCGGCTGGAGAAACATCTACCTCCTGTTGTGGTCATGTCTCAATGTAGTGTAATCGTGTTAGTTTCTGTAACGTTAGTGAATTCATCATTAATTGGTACTGCCCTGAGGCTAGGTTGAAGGGAGAGACCACCTCTGAGTGTGTCATGCGAAAAGTTAGTCGGCCAGGATTCAACCTAGTGCTGCCAAAGGTCACGTAACACAATAGATTGCTCTGTAAACTAGTCAATATACTAAACAATATAGACCAATTATTCCCGGGAAGTTTGTTCCCCTAAGCCTAGTAACTTATAAACTAGTCGATAGACTGTTACATAGACTAGACAAATTACATAGTTATTAGATTAGTCAATAGTTTAGTAAACATACTAGTCTTTAGACTACTCACAGTATAAACAATTGAGTGGTTACAGACTAGACAATTAATTAGTCCATAGATTTTATTCTATATATTAGACAATAGACTGGTCATTAAACTATTTACTAGAATAGTGAATAGTCTCGACAATTAAATGGACCATAGACTATTCTATAGCCAAGACAATAGACTAGTCTGTAGACTTGTCAATTGACTAGTTCATAGTTCAATATAGTTGACTGTATATTAATAATGCGCTGGTCCATATATTAGCCAATAAAGTAGTCCATGATATAGACTAGCCCATATACTATTGTTTAGTCCATAGGATAGACAATCGCCCCTATTCTGCATTTCAATTCGAATCAAAATTTTCTCCGTTTGGCAACTTTGGTATTCTTCATTTCGCTTCGACTCACCGCCACATAAACAACAACTCGCAAAAACGTAGGTACGATCGTAACGCAGAATACACACATTCGTAAAGCATTGAAACGAAATGGAATTGCTTCTTTTTTTTTTCTTACGATTCAGTTTTTTGTTGGAATACCTTTTCTCGATCGTTACGTAACTGAATGCGTAAACGTAATCGAAATGCAGAATAGGGGTGAATATACTAGACCATAGGCAACTCAATTGATTGGTCCATAGTGTAGTCAATAGACTAGTCCATATGTTAGTAATATGTAGTCCATAAACTAGTGAATAGACTGTTACATAGACCAGTCAATGATGCTCAAACACAAGAACTATTCGAGATAATGCAGTAATCATCAAAGATCTTTATAAGTAAAAATCATTATTAACAGAACCCAGATATTTGCTCTCATACCAATCTTCATTAAAACACATTTACGGTTTGTTGTTTTTTTTTTATTAAATCTAAACTTTATTATACATAATTTATAATACATTATACAAACTACATTTGTAAGTTTTGTGATTTTTTTAATGCTTCCTAAAACACAAACTTTTTTTATTATAAAAACCCTTCACAACTGAAAATAGATAATAAAGCAGCAAAATATTAAGGAAGCCTTTAGTACTAGAACAAATTACAACATTCCCAAACAAACGAAATCTTAATAAAAAAAATAAAACCTTCGAACGCTTATGAATGTTTTAATTTGCTGGCCAGAAAGAAAAGCAAGATGTTATTTCAGTTGGAAATTTCCAAGGGTTAAAATGGAATTATATATGAATAGCAATTGTAATAGAAATATTTATAATAAGAAAAATATAATTTAGCAATTATTAATTAATCTTAATTATTAATTATAAATATTTCTAAATTCTAAAAAGTAGTCAAAATGGTGTAGATAATAATTCAGCAAGTAAAGTTCATGTTTTATTTATAATTTTTTATTATTATAATAATTTGTTTTAATATTATTATTAAATTATAGTTTTATTTATGTGGAAAAAAATCACAATTATTGTTTAAATCAACAATTACATTTTAAAGCATATTATTTAAAAAAAAAGATCCTAGAGTAGTACAGGAGTAGAGGAGGGAGGGACACACAAAATATAATTACGTTAAATAGCTTGTGTATTATAAAATAATTCAAATCAATTAAATTATTTATGTATAAAAAAATAATTATTCAGTTGTTGGTAAAGAAAACTTTTAAAAATATTATTTTCTAAAAGAAAATAAATTGTAGAAAAGAAACTGGAATTATACAGGCACATTTCAATACTTTCATTAAACAATATAAAAAATAATGTAAATGTTAAATATTTATGTGCTGGTTTTAGAAGAAGAAGAAGAAAAAGAAGAATAATTATTTACAATTTACAATTCATCTTTGTGCAGCAGAGTATAACGATTCTTAGAAGGACCCAATTTCTTGAATGTTGACTCTGGCGGCGAGGTATTTACAACTTCACTTTGTACCTCATTAGTAGAGGGATCAGGACCATAATGGAATTCACTAGTTATAGAAAAACAATAAGTTATTAAAATATATTTGGAATAAACTTAAAAATTAAACTACTTACCGATGTAACTTTCCACTATATAAATCTTGTAAAAATTGTTTTAGTTTACCGGGCGTGTACATATCCTTAAAGTTGGGGAATAAGTACATGTGTCTAAATGAATCGATGGCAATCAATGGCAAATCTTCTTCCGATTTACCCAAATGATGTAAAGGATGAGCAAAACGTTTACCATCAGCCGTAAGGAAATTAATGTTTTCTAAAATAATAAAAATGAAATATATAAAAATATGGGCATCTAGAAAAATTAAAAAAAAAACTTACGTTTTTCATCTAATAACTGATGATCTATTATGGCCTTATAATCTTTAATGGAGTTGGTATCATCGGGATGATGGAAAAGAATCAAAAATGGTAAACCTTCTTCGGTTAATTCTTCAGCATTTTCAAATGTTATTTCACGCACCAACGGCACACATTTCTCTTGAATCCATATTTTCAATTCATCGAAATTCTTCAAACTGCCAGTATAAGTTTCATCATTTTCATGTGTTACAGCAACATCGGGTCTGAAGACAATAATTGGTGAACCTAAAAAGTAAGTAGAAGTATAAAGGAAATATTATTTGTAATGGTTTTGAAAATTAAAAAAATGTGCTTTTTTGGTTTGCATAATGATCCTGTAAAGAAAGATGATGTGTGAAAGCACATGCAGTTTTGATGAAAATTTTGTAAATTTCTTTCCACCTATTATGTAAAGTTATGGAGACAACTAGTGATGCGCTCTTTTTTGGCCAAATGCAGACTAATATATTGAACAGTCTATTCTGTTGACTAATCTAATGAATAGTCAGTCTATTGACTAGTCCAATGTCCAGAGTATTAGTCTAATGATAACTCTCCTTACTAGCTTATTGATCTGTCTTTTGATTAGTCTATGTACCGGTCTACTGACTTGTGTATGAACTATCTATTAACTACTCAAATGAATTGTATATGAACTAGTCTAATGAATAGTCTATGGACTAGTTTATTGTCTAGTTTATGGATTTTCTATTGACGATTCAAATGACTAGACTATTGTTGACTCTATTGTCTAGTCTATTGAGTATTCTAGTGTATAAATTATGGACTATTCTATGGAATCGCCTATTGTCTAGTTCATTGTCTTGTTTAATGACTAGATTATAGATCAGTCTATGGACTAGTCTATGCGGTATAGAATAGTTTATTAACTAGTGAATTGCCTAAAGGACCCTAAGGACTCAAGTAAAGCTTACTCCTAGTAGTTAGCAGTCTGTGAAACCTAACCTAACTAGTGTTTTGCCTAGCCTATGGATTGATCTATTGAGGGAATCCATTATGTGGTTTATGAACTACTCTACTGACTAGTCTTCTGATTAGTATATTGTCTATTATATTGTCTAGTTTATGTATTGATCTGTTGACTATTCTATGGATTAGGCTACTGACTAGTCTAATGAATACTCTATTGTATAGATTATGGACTAGTCTGTTAACTAGGCTATGGACTTGCCTATTGACTAGTCCATTGTCTCATATATTGTCCAGTCTTTTCTATTATATAGACTTGTTTACTGACCACTACTGAACTAGTCTATTGACTAACCTTTAGATTAGTTTATTGTCTAGTCTATGGACAAGCCGAATAAGTAGTCTATTCACTAATCAATTGATTATAATATTGACTATTGACATGTTAATAGATTGATCAGTCCCTGCCCTTGTATTGGTCTATTAACTCATCTATTAATTAGATTGACTAGTCTGACTAACACGCTACTTAATGGTAGCAAAAATTACATTGAAATTAAACCATAAATTTTAAGATGAATAACATTTAACAATTAATTGAACAACAAGATAATAAAAACAAACAGAAAAGAATAAATGAAAGAAAGAAAATTAAAATAAAACAATAATTACCTAAAGCTAATTTCTGTGTAATATTACCTAGTTGTTTATCATCAACTCCTTTGTGGTAACAGTTAAACAAAGAATATTAGGAAGTGTTATTTTTAATAAGAGTTAGTATTCAAATAAAAAAATAATAAGCAATAAAAACAAGAGTTTTAAAAAATAATTAGCAGGCAAAATAAACAATTAAAAAGGAAACATACCTGGTGGATGCATAGCCTGAGCAGCATCACCAAAACCAGCATGGAATTGACAATCGTCTTTGAGATTTGTAGCCACTTTGCGGAAGGTATCATATTCAGGTTGATCACGACGATCAAAATAACCGATAATAATACGTTTCTTAGAATCTAAATTCTCCAAATCTCTTAAAGTTTTAAACTCTTTGATGGGATCTTCTAATTGTTTCTTAACAAATTCTACAAAAGCCTCTGCTGAACGCTGACCACGATATTCACGTTTACTTAATTGTCCATTGCGTACAATTTTCAATGTGGGATATTTGGTAATATGGAAACGTGATGCTACTGATGTTTCCTTATCACAATCTACTTTACCCAATACAACTTTGCCAGCTTCGGGAAAAGCTTCTTTAACCTGTCAAGTTAAGTGTGTTAAGGAAAAGGTTTTAGTTTAGTTATGAATAATAGTTTATTATGTGTTTAAATTACCTTATCGGCGGCTTCATTGAATATGGGCGCTAATAAATTACTAAAACGACACCATTCTGCATAAAAATTTAAAAATACCAATTCATTGGAGGCTGTAATTTAAAAAAATTAAAAAAAATTATTACAAAAAGCACTTTGTTTAGTTTAATAATATTTAAAAGTTAATTAAAACAAATATAATAACAGTACTTTTGTTTAATTTTTCTTTTAGAATTAAAATTGTTCAATTAAATCATTTTATAATTAGAATATATTATAAAGTAATTTGTGTTATTACATATTTTATAAACATTTCCTGAACATTTACGGTCTTATTCATAATCATTTATCAAAGGTTTATAGATCAAATTTGCTATTTAAATGTATGTTATAACTCTTTGATAAATTATGATGAATAAGTTACTAAAAGTTTTTTTAACTTAATTATTACTTCACATTTATTCGCCGAAGCAGCACTAATTAACATAAAAAAACTGTAAATTTAATTTTAGTGCAACAATACCTTTAACATTTAAACAAATTAAATAAATTATAAATAAACACTTTGCAACCGAACTGTATTAATAATCGAAATGAAAAAACTTATGTTTCATTTTTAATTTCCAGTTTTTATATTACCCTTGTTTTGGGGTAATATTCTTAAATAATTATTTTTATTTTTATATCCTAAAGCCGGTAGTTTTTTAATAATTTTCATTAAAAATATTCAAACATGTAAAATAAGGTACGATTTTTAATAACTGGACTGACCGAGGCCAGTGATAGACTTATTAATACAGTACAAAATCTGTAAATTTCAAATATCATGGTCCAATTATAGGATTTATCCTAAAGAAGAAATTGTACTTAAATTTTTTAAAACTTGATTTAAAAATCCAGCATTAATTTGCCTAAAAACGATTACTAATTTAAAAACATACGAAAGTAGTAATAAAAGAAACAATAGATAATATTGTTTTTATGAAAACCTGTTTAAATGTTTTATCAAATACATAACATTATCGCAAATCCCAAAGATGAGCAATATTTTTTACATAATTGCAAAAAAAAAAAAAAAAAAACATAAAAAAGCAAAATCAGTGAAAGTTATTGCTTTTTGGATTTTAATTAACATAATGAAATATACAATACCAGTTAAATCAATACTAGTGAAACCCCCTATTGTATAAATATTAATTATTTAAAACAGATACGATTTAACAGCTGTTTAAATTAAAGTTATGAGGAAATAATGCCAAAGAAGGTTAAGTAAATAGAGTTTATAAAAGTTTATTGTTAATTATAACAGAATAATTGATACGATTGTTGTTTTAAAAAGCTTGCTAAACCAAAGATAAAATATATTGTTTGATTAACCATAATAAACCAACGATTACGTTTTGTTCCCCTTAATATCTGCGATTTTTTAATAAAACGAAAATCGATTGATTCGTTTAAAATCAATCTATTTAAAGATTTAATAAACTTTCTTGCATGAAGGTCAGTAAGTTTAACGTCTACGTCCCATGTACTATCCTACTCCTCAACATCCTAATCTCTGATCGTGACGTCCGATTACCTAACAGGTCGACCACCACGTTCATCATGTCCCTTCTATCATCCTTAGTTTTCTTAATTTGGCAACCTATTTTAGATCCCATGAGTTTGCAAGTAAGCTAGTTGCCTAGTAAGCATACGTGGTCTAGGCAACTAGCTTACAACCGTGCTTTGCCATGACACAGAGGGGAGCTGTTAACAACTAGTTTCTTTATGCATTAGCTAGCCTACAGGTCCTCGGCACTGCTACCACTCACCTTAACCTTACTACAAAAAGAGCGAGCATAATATAATAGACATACTACCATACTCACTATCTTGGAATGATGATTCATATTTAGTGTTACTTTTAAACCATGATTACATATAAAATCATGATTTTTATGTAACTAGAAAAACTGAAGTATTAGTCACAGTAAAGTTCCACTTATTACATTATATACAAGATTAACTTATTTCGAACAGGTTTAGGTAAAAAGAGTAGCCACTAAATCAATGAGTGGGTTGTTATACCGTAGGAGTCCATTCAAGTACTACCCACTACTCCCAGATTTAAACCAGCCGGTTTGATTCACAAAGTTTGGGATATTTTTAAGGCATATTCCAGGTAGATCTGCCAAACATGAGAGCAGCAAAGCCAAACAATGTTCTCTACTTTCATTGAATGATGGACAGTAGCACAGGAGGTGAGGTATTGTTTCCTCTTCCTCCTCATTATGACAATTCCTACAGTAGTCGATATATTCGAGACCCATTTTTCTGGCGTGATTGCCAATTGTACAGTGTCCCGTCATGACTGGTACTAGCTTTCTTATCTGAGAGCATCGCATAGATACCAAATTGACCTCGAAGTGTGAAAGATGGCTTCGCTAAATCATCTGATTTGAGCCAGTCTGAACCAGTGACTTACAGTTTGTAAGGGAGATACCAATCGCACTGACAATTACTATCTCCAGGTAACCATATTAGCATGATCCTAGAATAACTAGCTGTCTCATTCAGAGATACCCGGCATTCTACAGTTAACATAAATGGCGTAAAGACATCTATGTTATTCGAACACATTTTTGCTCAATTTTATACATCTATAACTTAAAATCTTGCAATAACTGTATATTTGTACACATTCGTAGTCTCCCTCGATTGATATTTATTTACACTGTTGTTCCCACGGTATTTAAGAGGGTGTATATTGTATGAAATTACTTTAACATTTATAAAAAGTTTCCAAGAATGTCTTACATGATAGTAACTATACAAATTTTCCCTGTCATTTAACCCAAACTTCTAAATGATAAAACAACCAAAAAACTAAAATATTGACATGTTACTTGTCAATTACTTAGACATTGTTATATTTTATATCAGTTCTACATAGCTGAACAGATCTAAGTCAAAGTAAAATGCAATTAAGTTGAAAATTAATTTTGTCAAACTGTTAAAAATAAAGATAACAGAAAAACATGCTTGGCAATAAATTAACAATATAAATTAAAACATTTTACACCAAAAAAAATAAATGAAACGTTTTTTACTAAAAACAACATCTGATTCATACACAAATGTTAAAACTAACTTGAGAACAGACGATTTATTATTTACTTAACAAAATATAACATAATTGTACTATTAAAATTGCCCATAATGAACATATTTCCAAAAACGGGAATTCTCCTTATTTCATTTTTTAAATGTTTACTTAACAAAGATATTTGTGTTCTTATAAAAGTAAACAAATAAGTAAACAATAAAAATAATAGAAAAACAACAAATTTCTAAAAATAAAATTAACCTTTTCAACTAAAAACACTTTGACCAGACGTTGTTAATTTGTATTTGTTTTTGATTTTAAATAAAAAAGACAGGCTTTTCTTTAACATAATTTTACATGTGTGTGCGTAGGGGGCAATGACAAACATTAGAAAAAAAAGAACAACAAAAAGATACAGAAAGAAAAGTATGAATTGATTTGTTTGTGTTTTACTTTGCGTACTCTGCATCTGTTGTTGTTGTTTTTATAGTATAACCCACGACAACAACAACACAAGATGATGTGACACGTCAAAAGGGAACCTTAACTTTGAGACAATTTCATGTATAATGTATAAAAAACTACACACACACTACTAACTAAATTATTAAATTAAACAAAAAGTGAGGAGTGACACCCACACTTCAGGATTTTTATTATAATCATATAAACAAAAGCGCAAAACATACATACATGTTTATAAGCAACTCAAGATAACATAATTAATTAAAAGTGAAATAAAGATTATAATAAATTCTTATAAGAATCATACATACCTAAAGTCATATCAATATTTTCACTGGTCAATGATACCGCCCCACTATCTGTGGGATGGTAGAAAACATAGAATATCTGAAATATTGCAAAAAAAGAAAACAAATTTGTTTGTTATTAAGCAAAAAATAGTAAGTTTTTTGTAATATTTATTTAAAATGGAAAACTACTACCGGTACTCAAACCATAGAGTAGAAATAAAAAAAATTGTGTCTAGCATACGTGTTTCTTTTGATTTTCCATTAATTACATACACCGCTAGTTATCCATCCTTTGGTATCTTTTTTATCAAGTTTTGTTTACTTACCATAAATATTGCAAAATAATAACATTTTCTAAGATTCCACAGTTGCATTTTACTAATTTTTATTATATTTTTTTAATAAATTAACTTAATTTCTAGAAAATTATACAAGTTTTTTACGTGCGCGATTTAATTCTTTTCACACTTGCGTCTTTTTTACCAACGTTTATTCACTTTTTATTCACTTTCTGACCAGTTTTCTCCTTTCTTCTATTCTTTCGTTTTTAGTGATGTTATTTCAGCGATTATTCTTTTTGATCTAGCGATTTTGTATTAATTTTAGAGCTGTTTCAGACGGTGACTTTTGTGGCTAGAACACCAGTCATGCCTAATAAGCTTTTGGGCAAATGGGGTAAAGAAGTAAGGAGAGTTGGAAAACATTTCATTGAATTCAAAAATTAATAAAAAGAAATAACTACATATAAAAAGAAAAAAAATTTAGAGCTAATGCTAAAAAAATAAGTATATACAAAATTTAAAAAAAATTATTATTATTTTTTTAATTAAATTATCCACTTTAAAAATAACATAATATTTAAATTAACAAATATTGTATTGTGGCGATAAATAAATAAATGCTATATAAATTAACGGGGTTGTCATAAAATGCAATCATTGTCGGAATTGGATTTCAAAACTACAAATAACATATGTTAGATTAATGAAATTTAATATTATACGTTTTAAATTCAATCTAGAATTCAATTCTTTATCGAATACAAATCCGATTACATCGAATTTAATTTATCCAATGTATGTTTTTTGTTGTTTTCAAATCCAATTCCTACAAAGATTCTGAGACAACCATGAAGATTTTATTTAATTTATAAAATATTTAAAACAATACGTTAAGAATTATAAAAATGAGAACTCTTACAAAAAGTTGACTTTTTTTTTCAATAATAAATCCCTAGTAGCTATTACAGCGATTTTTTAGTGTTATACTCTTATTTTTACCAGATTTGCTGGAGAAATATTGAAAATACTATTTAATAATTTTTAACCTGAAATTAATTTTGAATTATTTCAATGTACTAATTTTAATTCACAATATCAAAGGAATGAAAAAAAGAAAATATATTTTTTATTTTTCAATTCATTATAAATTTTTTGACTGCTGTCTTTTAATTTTAAAATATGTACATCTCATACTTTATTCTGGTTGTTATATAAAATAATAACCAGAATAATTTTACACGGCATAGTAGAAAGTCCCTGCTTTGGACCGAAGTCAGAATGCACATAAAAAGTGATTATAAACAATAAAAAATTACCACCATACAAATTGTTTCAGGGATCCAGATTTGTTCTAAAAATTCATTAAAACTGAAAAGCTTAAAGAAACTATTTAAATTTGTTATACATTGAATTAAAAATAAAAAAATTAATTAAAACAAAATCTAATAATTGAGACGAATTTCAATAAGAATACATTTATTACAACATCAGCTTTAAGATCTAATTCTGAAAATTAGTGACAATAGGATCATCTCTCCGGAGCGAAACTAGTCATACTCGGCCAAAGATTGTCAATCTAGGGACAAACTAAAGTTTTTCCCCAGGAAAGAGCACAGTCGAACTGTTACAACAACAACTCCAATTGTCTGATATGTGGAGGTTTACACAGGCAAACTTCTTTTGAGAAACTTTTGATTTTGTGTGTGAGAGAAAGAGATGGTTGATATTTCTTTCTCTTACATACAAAAATCAAAAGTTTCCCAAAAAAAGTTTGCATGTGTGAACCGGCACTATGCTGCTAATCATGATTTCGAAAAAAATTTCCAGCCCCTGACATTTTTAAATTTATTATTATTTGGAGACACCCTGTTGATGTAATTCACGTTTTCTTTTTCCAGACCCCTGCGACGATTCGACTAACTCTAGCCGCCAGTAAAATTTAAAAGCTGTAACTTAAAACTAAATTTTTATGCGATACAATATTAACATAAATATCGATATTAACAGAAACAAGAGAGAATCTCTTTTTTAATGTTATTCATATTTTTAATATGTGTACTTTTTTATACAGAATAAAACGATTCAGTTTTTATTTTAAAAAATTTTGAAAAAGCAATTTTTTTGCAAAATTTTGTAAAAGTTTTAATTTAAATTTTTTACAAAAATTATATATAAAAAAATAAATTTTTATGCTTTGGTGAAAAGAGAGCTATTTGAAGACAGAAAATCTAAATGTCTACATCACTATTTTATTTAATATTTTAAACCTGTTAGAAGTATTAAGAATAGATGTAAATGGTATTTTAATCTTTTAAATTTTATCTTTGTTAACGAATACTTGCCGGTTTACAGTTTACTTTTAAACGCCGCCGACAATATTAATGTCAAACACCGCCGTCGTTAATTTTGATTAGCACAGGTTTGTGCTTTTCACCCCATTCATTTACATTTTCTTCATACGAATGATTTTGTAAGAAATTTTCAGATGTCCAACTCGACTCTGTTAATTTTATTCAATTCGTGGATTAAATAAAACGATAAAAATCATAAATAATTGAAAAATACCAAAATTAAACTTTGCTTTAAAGATATATTTAATAAAAACTATTTGATTTCATGATTAAAAGCTAAAAAAAGTGAAAATATTGGACTGGCATACTTAACAAAGAAAAAAAAATACAAGTGAAAAACAAAAAAACCTTTTAAAACAAAGAAGATAAAGAACAAAACAAAGTAAAACGAAAAAAATAAAGACGGAAATATAACAACAAAATGTAAGTGTTTAAACAAATTAAACTAAATAACAAAAAGTGAAAAAACAAAATAAAATTTGTTAAAAGAAATGTATGCGGTCACCCTGATAACAAACAAACAGAAAGAAAGAATAATAATTAAAAAAAAAATAACTGAAAAAAAAGAAAGAAAAAGCAACTGCCGTTAAGGTCGTATACTGTGGGTAAAAAAGATTGCCAGAGAAAAGAACAGACAAAAAGATAAAATTAAAAATATACACACAAACACACATACATTTACAATCGTAATAACGAGTATATGTATATGATGAAAAAAAGTCATAAATAAAATCGAGATAAATTAACAATTTCGTACGTTCTTTTGTTTGTTGACTTGTGAAAATTTTCTTATAAACAAAATGTTAAAAATCTTTTGTTTGTAAACCATTTTTTTCGTTGTTTTTGTCAGATGCAAATTTAAATACATAAAATTTTATATCATCAGCAGTTTAACAATTTGTATTGAAAATAAGTGTTGTTTTATAATCATTATTGTTAACTGACGTCAGTTCAAAATATTTCCATTGATTTTTTCCAATTTTCCTCTTCAAACTGATAATTAGTTCATTACAATTTTTATTATTATCATTATTTGCAGATTGATTTGTCATTAAAGATTTTAAGAAAAAACAAGACATCAATATTAATTGTTGGGTAAGTGCATATATTTTGTCATTCATTTATTAATACAAATACTACAAAACTACGTTCAAATATATTTCCATTTGGTTAGTTAGGTAGTTTCTTTTCTTTCGTTTGCTTTGTTTTCTTATTGAATTTATCTATTTTTCTTGCTGTAAAGATTTCATTAATATACACATTTTTCCAATTTGTTCATAGATTTTTCTCATGGTGTCCTTCCAAATGCCATTTCGTTTTAGTTGAATTAAATTGCATTGTGTCTGTTGCTGTTGTTTTTGTATTTCATTGGACTTTGTACTTGTTTTGCCGGTTTTTACTGTATCTAGGCTTGCCATATATAAGTTGTACTTTTTTAAGCGTTTTTTTTTCTTTCAAAATATGAACATAATAGTTTTAGGAATAATAAAATTTTAAAAATACTTGTCGCTTTTAATTGATCTTGGAGTTTTGTCCTTTTTAATCGTCAGATTTACATAAATACATCAGAGAAAATACTACCGTATTGTTGGAAGTCACTGTTTAAATAGCAGGAGTTAATGGATGACTAACTGATGGTTGTCCTCTAAAACGCTGCATAGATGTTATTAGGAACATAGATTGCCTTACGATAAAAGTTGCTACATGTGTTTGAGCTGATGTTTGTAACGCACAACAAAATTGGCTGGTTGTACATGTAAACCTTGTGCGCAAGATATAGGCAGTAATTTTCATTGGTCCATTATTTTGCCTAGCCTTCTACAACCGCACCTTCCGATTTGGACTTTTTAGTTCATAACTTCCTCAAATATGTAGCCTTTTTTAAAACTTCCCTTAAAAAAATGACTTAAATGTCCATAATAGACTTATAACCATTAGTATCGCAATGAAATAATGTACGAATGCTTACACTGATAGCTCTAGGTTGTTGTTGTTGTAACAGTTCGACTGTGGTCGATAGTTCTTTCCTGGGGAAAAAACTTTCGGTTGATACAGCTGTCGCTGGGTTGACAATCTTTGGCCGAGTATGACTCGGGTCGTTCCGGAGCAAAGATCCAATTGTCGTGGGAACGATAGCTCTAGGTGCAGTGGAATGGTGAATAGTGGCTTCTACATTGAATGAATCAAGTCCTCTTTTAGGCTACCTAACTATCAAACCAGCGGCAAACTGGCAGAGGTATTATCTCATATTGGGAGATATACATACATGTGTATGTACATATGTATATATACGAACAGCATCTGGCTTAACCAAAGAATGCCGGGTATCTCTGAATAAGATAGTGAAACATTCCAGGATAATGTTAATATGGGTCCTTCGACATAACAACCCCTTTACTGGTATTTCCCTTACAAACTGTATGACACTTGTTCAAATTGAACAATATGAAATGGCTTAAATCAGTGGGTTTAGCGAAACCACCTGTCTTTAAGGTCAACCTGACCTCTATATGTTGACCCTAGATCAAGCTTACTGTTGACTTTAGGAAGCTGTTATCGGTAAAAACGGGACGGAGTGCTATTTGTAATCATGTCAGTGAGTTTCGAGTGCACTGCAGAAGTTGTCATAATGATAATGAAGCACAGACTATATTTCATCTCCTATGATACTGTACGACATTCACTGAGAACAAAAAACAACATTTTGGTTCCATTCTTCTTTAGTGTGTGAAATTAATTTTAACAATATCTAACCGGCTGTTTAACTCTGGATGTTGTGAGTAGTACTATAAAGAACTCCTAAGACCATTAGGGCATCACAACAGTTCCACAATCAGGTGGTTCAAATTGAGTGATTACTTTATTTGTTATTTCTATGAACCTTGTAAACTTAAAGCTTTAAATTTCTTAGGGAATCTTGCCTCGACCAAGTCGAATGTTTTTGTCTAACCTACTTCAACAATCTACTTGCCGCCAACGAACAACACCATGTTTATGGGTTCTCAAATAAGGCCTTTAGAATTAAAATTTTTAAATAAATTTACTTTTCTCTATTTTACTAAATTAAATTTTTAAATAAATTTACTTTTTTCTATTTTACTATGATTATTTTACTTGGGCTCACATAGCACAAGAAATGTATAACAACTAATGGACAATAAATAAAAAAAATTAAAACGCAAATTAAGCAAAATTCTAAAAAAATATAATATAAAAAAAGTAATATATGTATATGAAAGTGAATGTATTTAACACTGGACAACAGCATTTATTAATATATAAAACTATTGACTATTCTTCGTAATTTTTAGTAAAATTTTGAATCTTTGTTCTTTTGAAAAAATATTGTTTTTAAAGTTTTTTCTCCTTTGAAAAATTCAAATACCTTTTAAGAAGATAATCGATGAAAATGATAAAACTAACCAAGCAGTTTAAATATATTTTTTTGTAGTCCGTTGTAATGATACAGAAATAACAAGACATACAAATATAAATAAATACTATTTAAATTCAAGCTAAAAAAGTAATTAAACTTTATTTACAGAATTTACTTAACTTTGGTCAGTTTGTTTGTCCGTCAGTCTCTCTGTTTAGGTCGTTTTTTTTAAGTTTGTCTCAATTGAATTTTGTATTAATGTCTCTGCTTACAAAAAATAATTTAGATATAAAATTACCATATCTGTTATTGCAAATATTTGTCTATTACTATTTACGATTTTATCTGTGTATGTAATTTCAATCAATACATTTGAAATTTGTACTCGTTTGCACATAAGTATTTTGACATAATTTTCTTACTAAAATAATATCGTTTACATCTGAACTTAATATTTATAAATATACTTTCAATGCGAGTAATAGAAATAGAAAAATTTCTTAGAAACAACAAAAAAAAAAATCTAATATGACGAATATTGAAATTGCATTGTCATGTTTTGTATCTTTTGCTTTTCATTATTTTTGCTATTTTATCGCATCTTTAGCTTTTTTATTATGATTTTGTGGGGAAAAAAGAAGAGTTTCCATTTTTTGTCTTAATTTAAATTTATTGTTGATTATTATTTTCTACCTTGTTTCTTGGGTGCCCTACATAAGGGGTTTTGTATGTTAATTTCAATTAATTAAATGTGACAAAATCAACACATAATTATTGATAAACAAAAATAATATTATGATCGTTATAGCTGAAATATGATTTTCATGGATATTTGCAATAGAAAAGGAACTGAAAAAAAAACAAAATTTTTTCGATTCAACCAAGAATATTGTTAGAAAAAGTAAATAATTTCGACCCGTATATAACAGTTAGTTCGATTATCTGTTTATTTTTATCTTATCATCATTAAATTTAAGGTGACAACAAGTCGCCTAACACCCTCTACGTCTGTTTTTTTTTTTGCCTTTTGTTGTTATCTTTTCAATTCTCCTTCTCTGTTTTGTTCTGTACATTTTTTTACATATTTATTTTTGTTAAAAGACTTTGAGATGATAATGATGCTAACAATTTTTTTCTTGTGTTTATAAACAAATATTAAAAATATATAAATAAAAAGTACACAAAAACAATTAAATTGCTATAAATGGTTTATGCGAAAATACTACAAAAAACAAACATCCACACATACTCACACGAGTACAAGAAAAGTTCATAGTTTAAAACAGCTGTTTGTTTAAAGGGAAGTGAGTGATTTTGTGTTTGTTTGTTGTTTGTACCATAGTAAAATAGAGCTAAAGGGCTTTAGGAAAAAGGTTATGGGAATTTGTTTTTTAATATGAAAATTATTGTTTTATGTATTTATAAAGATTTAAGTGTAATGTGTAAACAGTGGAGGTAAAAACAGTCGATTTTTGTTTCGCTATAAAATTTGGTGATATACAAAAAGCACGATTTCCTTAAATCCATGTATCAAGAAAACATTAATCTGAGGTCGCTATTAGGAATTTGCTCTGTAAACTTAAATTGTTGTTGTAGCTGTTCTACTGTGGCCGACAGTTCTTTCGGTTTATACAGCCGTGAGCCACAGTGTTACAGGTCTTCCATTCGTCTTCGGCTGATATTGTATTTACATCTTTTATTAAAGCTTTAGTATCACCGAAATACGGTTTCAGCAGCACAATGCCACATGTTACCCAATTAACAAATGATAACTTTTTGCAAACCTTTTTACTATAACATACATTTACGTTCCCATCACAACTGGTTCCTCACACAGGAACGACTTGGCGTTCAACGTAAAACAACCAAACATTTTCAACTCAACACCGTCTTTACTTACATCGCATACATTTTCAAAATTCAGGTGTTAAGTTCTCGACGGAAGGACAATCTTACAGGACGATATTCCTCCTGTCACCAGGAGCAATTGAGACTCTTCTCTTCCCCCCAGCTGGCCTGCCTTCTAACAACAGCCGGATTTGGCAAAATATTCAGCACCACCAATGACACAGTCAAACTCTACAACAAGATCCCGCAATTCCACAATAGCCAACAATACGAAGAGATGAATCGTAAATTATTTGATCCAAACGTTAAGTGTGCCAAGCGGAGTACAGTCCCCGCTTTTCTTTAAACGCTACAAATTATGCGAACGACCGTACCATCATTGCGACGGGACACAAGTTGATTAAATTTGCGATCTGGTAAATCTTTTCACCGCTGAAGTCGTCAGCTACACTTTTCGCCACCTACCTAGAGGAAAGAATAAGTAGTTCTTTGCATTTCGACTTTGCATCACCCGAAAACTTTGGGGGTTGACTACCAATAAATGAAATGGCAGGTCAGTAGCAAATTAGGTTGTTCAAGTGTGGTCGCCTTCGTCTAGTGTTAGCAGTGAGAACAACATAAAATATATAAATCAGCAACAATTGTTGCGGCTCTGGTGTTATCCAAAGCTTTTGATACGATCGATCATTCCGTGCTGATAAATGACATCTTGAACTCCACTTTACCCAACGATGTCAAACGCTGGATTGTCAATTATATCTGTGGCAGACAGGCGTTTGTTGAGTTCTGAGGCAGGAAGTCCAACTACCAATTATATCTGTGGCAGATAGGCGTTTGTTGAGTTCAGAGGCTGGAAGTCCAACTACCGCAA